ATATAAAATTGTCTTGGAAGTACAACAAAACTTCAGTTTTTTATTATCTCATTTTTCTCAATGGTAATTTTATAATTTTTATCAAAATGTAATTTGTTCTTTTCACTCAAGTTCTACAGTATCAGCAGTAGTACTCCTAGTGCATAAAAATCACTAGGTGGCGCTATATGTTGGTGAGACAACCATGTTTTAACCACAATGTCACTATTTAGTTCATCTTTTTAACTGAATCTTCCATTTCCCCTCACGACCCGTCCATGGGTTGCAGGCCACTCTTTGAGAATCACTGCCAAAGTCTGACAGAAGATTTCAAATGTGAAGATTTAACACTAAAGCATGGCTCCACAGCATTGTTGGACCAGATGGATCACCTCACAGCAGACTGCGAATATGCAGCCATATGGAAACCAGCCTCTGGCTGCTCTGTTTCCAAGTAAGGAAGGTCATAATACGTTCACAGACAAATGTTTTATTGATTTCATCCTAATTTAATCATACCGCAAACACACACCAAACTCTGGTACCTGTTTTATTCCCACATTTGAGTTAATGGTGTTTTTCTTAGCTGACATTGGAACCAGTTTTACAGATTGACTTTTTAAATGATTGTATAAATGGTGTTTATATTCAGGTGAGAAATGTGACTCTCCCCTTCTGATTGGACTTTCCTAGCTGCCGTTGTCTCTGCGAGGAGAAACCTTCAGGGTGTGATTGAGCTGGGCGGGCTGAAGGGGCGAGAAGGTCACTCAGCAGGGTCCGAGAGTGTGGATTGCAGAGAGAGGAGGCCGAGTGCCCACTGCAGAGAGAGATCTCAGTGACCAGAGTCTGGAGGTCAGTCATGGAGCGCCCCCACCCATTTACCCAGCCCCTCTGTGTTTTTATTCTTCCGTAACAAAGAGGATGGGGAAACAGGCAGTGACTGAGCAGCACTCGACCTACCACCCAGCTTTAGTCTGGGGTGGGGGGTGAGGGTGAGGGGTGAGGGGTGGGGGGTGTCCTGTGAGTCTCTAAATGTGACAATAATTGATAGACATCTTTGTGAAACTTTTGTGAAGCCAGTCTTCATCCACTCCTGGTGGGGAGTCTTCTATATTATACCAATAAAGATGTCTTTTTAATGCCTCCAGTCAAGATGCGATATGTCACGGCAGTGCTGACAATGAGGCAGGTCTGTTTTCCATCATGAACATTGTCGTGGGTTACGGCGTTGTCAAATATGTGCCGAGCTCAGCTCAGGGATTTGGATAAGAGCTCCACTGCAGGAGTGATAGACTGTGAGCAGGGCCAGGGATGGATGATAGGGATGTGACACTGGCTCTGATTTATGACCCCAGTCTGCAGTCTGCATCTGAATAACCTCGAAAAAAACTGGGATTGCCAGGTCAAAGCCACAAGTGCAGAGCGAACAGTGAGTAAGGTCAAGAACGCGGGAGGAGTTGTGGTGCAGCGTTGTGCAGGAGAAGGCCTCAGTCTGAGTGTCTGCGTCGGTAGCTGGGACAGGAGGGGGAGGCGCGTACAGAGAGCTCCCCTACCGGGCCGGTTTCTACGGTGACTTGAGAAAGGCCGTAACCAGGTCCGGCTCTTTCTCAGGCCCTAATCAGCGTATTACCACAAAGAAGGACATATGTTCTCCCCCTCCCCGCCGCCTCCCACCTCTCCACCCTCTCCACTCATTCTGACCGGCATGGCTGGACACAGGCAGCCAATAAAACCAGGATTAGGAGGGTATCTACACACACTGGGCTGAAGCGACAAAGTTTCTGAACACGCCCCAATCCCACCCTACTCCGTTCACAAACCTCTTTTCATGGTTCCTCATCTGTCTCCCATTCCTGCCATCGTTCACTTTATTCCACTCGCTCCCATGTTTGTATCCTCGCTCTGCCTCTTCTCTTTTCAGAGCGCTCACCCCGTAAGCTGTCCACACAATAGGACATCCAGAAATTACTCATTTTACCAAAGGAGTTCAGCAAATTCCCAATGCCTCTTGTCCGGCTCTTTTCTTTACCGTCTGGATCCTGTGCTCTTTGCTGTTATGATAATGAAATGAGTTGGCATCACAAAGACAAAGCTAAAGCTGGAAGGAAGAGATTATGAAAATTTGGGCTTTTAAATTTTTTTTTTTTTTTTTTACATATTATGAAAAGAGGACATTACTGTTCCTAAAATGTTGTGATCACGAAAACCAAATCTGTTCACTTCAAATCAGCCAAAAAGTTGGGGGTATTTACAACAACAGCTAACATCTGTAGCTTAGCAGTGCACCACCACTGCATGAACTAAGTACTTTTTGTAGAACATTGACTTTTTTAGAAATTGGTATCATTTGGATAATTAACAACCCATTCACTTTTTAATTACATTATAAAATAGTCATTTATGAACTGAGGATAACAGTTGTTGTTTTTTCTCATACTTGCTACTAGACTTAACAACACATGGCTTTTTTTTTAAATAAGCATTCAATGATCATCCTGCTTTATTGTCCTGAAACATCTTAATTGCAGCGGCAGTGTCTTATTCCAATTTCAAATTAGCATCCTTACCAAAGGAAAATCCATTCAAACAGCCTGTATGGTTTTCTTCACCATTGGCATCAAGCAGTTTCATTTGATTATGCTAAGCTAATAGAATAACCAGTGTTTTCAGTAGAAATAAATAAATAACCCAACTGTGGATTTTTGTAATTTTTTTATTGAAACCTTTAGGAAGCGTACCAACTATTCTGGAAATGGGGACTGCGCTGAGCCTTTGTTATCCTGTGATGCTGTTTAATATGTTAAGGCCTTACCTCAGCCCTTGTTCTAATGTGTCCTGGAAATGGGAGCATGTTAAAGATGATATCATTGCCTTTGTCATGGAGCTTTTTCCAAGCAGGACAAAGACGACAAGAAATCTTCTCTCAAATAAACCTTTTTTCATTAGGGCGGCAAACACTTCACCACTTCACTGTGTGTGTGTGTGTGTGTGTGTGTGAGTCACTCAGCAAGGTCCCACATGGAAGAGGCTAAACCCTCAGTGGTCTTCAGCCGGACACTGAGGCGGCCTAATTAAAGGGCACTTAAGCCCCACAATGTGTGGTGGTGCAGGTTGGAGTTGGTGGAGGTCCCCGCCGAGAGGGACAGAATTCATGGCACTCGTAAACAAGGGAGTCCAGGACAGAGGGACAGAAGAGGGCTATGTGCCAGAGACTTTGTTCACACAAGATGAAGAGTCAACAGCCTCCCTATCCCTCACCCCTCCTCAGCCATTCCCCCTAATAACCACAGTCTTCAGAAGAGCTGGAAACACAATGCGGTCCCACTCCCCTCCTCTTGCTCTCAATCACTGTTGGGACAATGAAGAGGACCCCCCACCCCTCCTCATTCCCTCCAGTCTTACCACCTCAACCATCCTTCTGCCCCTCCCGGACCCCCAAACAGACACTTCTTTTATTGAAATTCTTTGGTGTTCTAATCCTCAGCTTCCTCCAGGGGCAATAATGGACTCCCTGCGTCAGCCTTTTCCAGTGAGACGATCATCTAAGTCAGCCTGGGTCACAAGTCCACCCCTGCTATTGGAGAAAGGTTCCCCGCCAGTGTCATTCCTGTCACATTCCAAGCAAGGAGCAGCACTAGTTACCTGAGGTACATGTCAAGGTTCCACTCATTTACCAAAACGTAGTCGAGCATTTTCACTAATCATTTTATGTCACCCTTTAGATTTATAGTACAAGTGGCAAGTCATTTTTTTCCTTCTGGACGCGTCTTAGTTCATCTGTGCACCAGCAAGATTCAGAATTCACCAGGCACGTTCATGTTGCCTAAGAGTTGGCACAAAGTGTGGAAAATGCTGGAAATATGAGCAACTGATTAGAATAAATTATCAGCCAATTGCATAAGTGCAGTGACAGGTGATGAAATGAATGTTGCGTGTGACTGAGTGAGTGAGTGATAGGCAGTGGGAAAACGTTGCGTGACTAGTTGATTTTAATGATGGGGGGTAACCAAATATGAAAATACCAATCTGTGTAGAGCATCACTAACAGGAACCACCAAAAGCTGTGAAATTAGATCAGGACATTTTACACAAAATTATAAAAGAAATACCTAATTTCTGCCAGAACCTTGTTGTCTTTGCTGTCTACAGGTGTGGTCGTCTGTACAGGGACACTGGTAACCAGATGTGACTCGCCCTTAATGGACCACATGGGTATAAGACTTATATCAGACTTTACTGGTCCATACTTGACCATCTCTGAGGTCCACATAGACAGCCTGGCTAAAGGTTGTCTCTAGTAAACTATGTTTATAGGTTACCTACAGTTTACAACTGATTTCATATACTACTACTACCACTGCTACTACTACTGCTACTACTACTGTTACTACTACTGCTAATAATAATAATAATAATAATAATAATAATAATAATAATAATAATAATAATAAATTAACAGCATGGAATACAAATAATTATATAATATACCGTATATATTATATATAATTATTATATATTATCATATAATAATTATTATTACAAATTAAAATAATTATAATAAAATAATAATATTATTATATTATTATTATAAATAATAGTAAAACCGTAATAGTAAATAGTTTTAATCTTTTCCTG